GCCCTTGTGGCTTTTATGTGCTTCTGGTTTGTTTCCGGGCAGGAAAAACATCAGATCAGAGGGGAAGGAGGGAATTGGGTGAGTTTCGGTCCAAAACTAAGAGGCTGTGACGAAATGATCGCCCTCTATAAAGAGGTGTGATCATCCTGAGGGGGGGGGTCTGAATAAACACGGTGCAAACACATCTGGAGACGCTTTAATAACGGGACAGTTGTTTTTATAATGAGGAAAAGGGATAAATGTGACTTATCCTGCCTTAAAAAGCGACATTAGTCGAGATAACTTGCATTTAGATTGTTTTTTTCTCCAAAAACCACCTGACAGCGGCCATAAACTGGGTCATTTCACGGGAATATTATAGTTAAACATTTGAAAAACTTAGTTAAACACCAGAGTAGAAATCAACTTATTCTCATTTTAGGGGTTTATAGTAATATTTGTCTTCACGTCAGGTACAACGGAGTGTTTTCCAACTTTCTTCGCCGTTTCCTGGTTCAGATTATCAGTTTTTGAGCGCCCTCTAGTGGATTTTAAATAAACTGCACACGACTTTGATTTGAATGTTTTCAGTTACAGAAACGAGCCTTTTCTTCCCATTTTCCCGCCTCGTGTACAATAAAACAGATATTTATATATCTGTTTGCCTGAAAATTCAGAAGACTTTAATTTAAGTGAGTTTAGCTGCAATTGGATGGTTGAAATTTGACCTGATTTGTATCAAAGCTTGTTTTCCAACGATGGCATTCATTGTTTATTGGAACCTTATAAAAGACTTAAGATTGATTTAATTTAACTTAAATGAGAAACATGTTTTCCTCTTTCTCATGAATTAACAAGAGGATTACAGAAGTCACACAAAGCTGTTATATCACACAAACACTAATAAAAATAAGTAAATAAACAACCAAGATTCAAGAAAAACTCAAATTTCACCCAGAGGACTTTTTTCTAAATTAGATTTGGTAGAAAATTACGAAAAAGTTTCCTGTCTGGTTTCATTTTATTTAAACAAACTAATAAAAAAATAACTCTGACATTTGGACTGAAATAATAAAGGTTTTTCCCAAAATTATGCTTATTCAAATTCTGTTTCCAAACTATTGTCATATCAATTCAGCCCGTTTAAAACACTTGAACCCTGAAAAAATACATAATTAGAAACCAATAAAAAAACTCCCCCCGCCACCCCCCAA